AGGAGGAGGAGGAGGAGGAGGAGGAGGAGGAGGAGAGGCAGGCTGAGGCTGAGGCTGTGACTGCGACTGCCGTTGCCGCTGCGACTGTCATCGCGAATGCGACTACGACTGCGAGAACAGCAGAATTCGACAACTGGATTTTCATCTGAATCTTAAGGGGAATGCTTTCAGATATGCTTCTACACATCGCTGTTAGGTTGCTTTGCCGGGATAATAAGACTGTTCGCTCTTATCTGCTCGAGTGTCCGTTGACGCGTAGTTCCCAAACCCTCGATACCCGCCCTCTTCGTCTTCGATCGTACACCTTTGGGGGGTATACTTTTCTTCCCTGCAGGCCGGGCCCCGGCAAACGGCGGGGCGGCCGCGGACCGTCGGCCTGGCCAGCGGTAGCGCTGATCGGCGGCAGCCCGACCCCAAGGGGGACGGACAGGGGACCGACCACGACGACGACGACGACGACGACGACGACGACGACGACGACGACGACGACGACGACGACGAGCGAACGCGAGAGAGAGAACGCCAGCAGGGCCACGAAAGGCACGAAGTAGGCCACGAAAGGCGACAGCGGGGACACGAAGGGAATGCGTATGGGGCCGCGAAGAGCGCGAACGAGTGGTGGCCACGAAGGGCAGCAACGGGGCCACGGAAGGCAACGACGGGGCCACTGAAGGCAGCAACGGGGCCACGTAGGACAGCGAGGGGGCCACAAAGGGCGACAGCGGGGCCACGAAGGGCATGCACATGGGGCCACGACGGGCGCGAACGAGCAGGGGCCACGAAGGGCATACGTATATTGGGCCGCGGAGGGCAAGGACGGTGCCACTGAGGGCAGCGAGGGGGCCACGAAGTGCGACAGCGGGGCCACGAAGTGCATGCATGTGGGGCCACGAAGGGCGCGGTCAAGCGGGGGCCACGAAGGGCATACATATATGGGACCACGAAGGGCAGCGAGGGGGCCACGAAGGGCTGCAACGGGGCCACGAAGGGCAGCGAGGGGGCCATGACGGGCTGCAACGGGGCCACGAAGGGCAGCGAGGGGGCCACGATGGGCTGCAACGGGGCCACGAAGGGCAGCGAGGGGGCCACGAAAGGCTGCAACGGGGCCACGACGGGCAGCAAGGGGGCCACGAAGGGCTGCAACGGGGCCACGAAGCGCAGCGAGGGGGCCACGAAAGGCTGCAACGGGGCCACGAAGGGCAGCGAGGGGGCCACGAAGGGCTTGCAATGGGGCCGCGAAGGGCAGCGAGGGGGCCACGAGGGGCTGCAACGGGGCCACGAAGGGCAGCGAGGGGGCCACGAAGGGCTGCAACGGGGCCACGAAGGTCAGCGAGGGGGCAACGAAGGGCTGCACCCGATTCCAAAATAATGTGTGAGGGAGTCACAGGCGTGAGCGCGACTCCTGAGCGCCTGAGTGTCCGCAGCGTGGCGCTTGAATAAATTGCAAGGAATTCCAACGCAAAGGCGCTATTCTTGAGTAAATTCTCCACGCTTCGCGTATCCCCACCAGCCCATCTCAAAACAGCAACTCTTGCGAAGCATGCCGACAGACGTGTTTTTCAGACGTGTTTCCGCCTGCCCCCGCATATCTCCGGGCCTCTCGTGCTGGTGTGAGTCGTGCGGGCCCTTCTTCCTGGTGTGAGTCGTTCGGGCTCTTCGTCGTGGTGTGAGTCGTTCGGGCTTTCGTCCTGGCGTGAGTCGTTCGGGCTTCTCGTGGTGTGAGTTGTTCGGGCCCTTCGTCCTGGTGTGAGTCGTTCGGGCTCCTCCTCCTGGTGTGAGTCGTTCGGGCTCCTCGTGGAGTGAGTCGTTCGGGGCCCTCGTCCTGGTGTGAGTCGTTCGGGCTCCTCGTGGTGTGAGTCGTTCGGGCGCCTCGTCCTGGTGTGAGTCGTTCGGGCGTGGAGTCGAAGTCGTAGTAGTAGTAGTAGTCGTAGGAGTAGAAGTAGAAGTAGATGTCTTTTGGTCGGAGGCCTCTGAGGGCGTCTTCGGCGCCTCTTGGGGCCTCTTGGAGACATCTTGGGGGCATCTCCTCGTGGGGCCTCTTGGGGGCCTCTTGGAGCCTCTTGGGGCCTCTTGGGGGTCTCTTGGGGGCCTCTTGGGGGCCTCTTGGGGGCCTCGTGGGGCCTCTGGGGGCCTCTTGGGGGCCTCTTGGGGGCCTCTTGGGGGCCTCTTGGGGCCTCTTGGGGGCCTCTTGGGGGCCTCTTGGAAGCCTCTTGGGAGGCTCCTGGGGGCCTCTTGGGGCCATCTGGGGGCCTCTTGCGACCTCCTCAGAAGCGCAAAGGAGCGCTGCCCCCTGAAAAGGACAAAATGAGCCAAAAACCTTAGTAAAATCAATGATTTTGCCATGAAGGAAGATGAGCGCGGCCCCCTCAGGACGCCAAAATGGGGCCAAAACCGTAGTAAAATCAACGATTTTGGCTTCAAAGAACAGCAGAGGGGCCAAACTGTATCCCCCCGACGGGGCCAGAATCCTCGTGATGGTCGTCGTTTTTTGGCCCTCCCAGAAACAAAAAAGACCCCCCTGACTACGCCCCGGACTCCCTGTCCAGGTCCAGGGGGAGGGGGTGGGGGGAGGGGTAAACCCCTCCCCGAAGGGCGCAGCTCTCATTTACGCTTCTGAGGAGGTCGCAAGAGGCCCCAAGATGGCCCCAAGAGGCTCCCAGGAGGCTCCCAAGAGGCCTCCAAGAGACCCCCCAGAGGCCCCCAAGCGGCCCCAAGAGGCCTCCAAGAGGCCGCCAAGAGGCCCCCAAGAGGCCCCAAGAGGCCCCAAGAGGCTCCCAAGAGGCCCCCAGAGGCCCCCAAGAGGCCCCCAAGAGGCCCCAAGAGGCTCCAAGAGGCCCCCAAGAGGCCCCACGAGGAGCCCGAACGACTCACACCAGGACGAGGGGCCCGAACGACTCACACCACGAAGAGCCCGAACGACTCACACCACAAGGAGGGGCCCGAACGACTCACACCAGGACGAGGCGCCCGAACGACTCACACCACGAGGAGCCCGAACGACTCACACCACGACGCGGGCCCCGAACGACTCACACCACGAGGAGCCCGAACGAGTCACACCAGGAGGAGGGGCCCGAACGACTCACACCAGGATGAGGGGCCCGAACAACTCACACCACGAGAAGCCCGAACGACTCACACCAGGACGAAGAGCCCGAACGACTCACACCACGAAGAGCCCGAACGACTCACACCAGGAAGAAGGGCCCGAACGACTCACACCAGGACGAGAAACCCCAAACGACTCAAACACGAGGAGCGCTTTCTCTCCCTCCTCCTCCGCCTCGTCCTTCTCCCGCTCCCCCCACAAGGAGGATGTACAAGGAGGCGGGAGGAAGGAGGAACAGGGGAGATATGCGGGCCCAAGCGGACACACGCCTGAAAAACACGACTGTCGGCATGCTTCGCAAGAGTTGTTGCTGTGAGATGGGCTGGTGGGGATACGCGAAGCGTAAAGAATTATTCTCCAGAAATGAGAGTTCAACAACAACGACTGGGGCAATGGGGATCCGTGGACCCTCCTCCCCCCCACGGCGTCCCCACCCCCGCCCGCCCGAGCGCAGTGGCGGAATCGCGCGGCAGCGCAACTGAATACCTGCCCCCATGCTCAACGAAGAGGAGTTGCCGCCCATGCCAGCAACGAGACATCGTGTCGCAACATTCCGCACCTTCCAGACTATATAGATGCCCTGGCGAGGCGCCCCTAGACCTCAAATCCTGCCAACATGTTGGGCTAAACTGGTCTAGCGAGACCTTCCGCTCCGCTTCCAGAACCCTCCCCCTCCTCTCCCTGTGAATTGTTTCAGGGGGGGTCGCGATCGGTCAGGGCGCCCAGATGGCTCAAGATGAGTCCAAGAGTGCACCCGATGCTCCAAGATGGCCTCAAAGGCGGCTCAAAATAGCCGAAGATGGTCCAAGATAGCTTCCGACATGCCTCCAAGAGGTCCGACGAGGGCCACAAGACGGATCCAAGTGCTCCCGAAGCCACCACCAAGAGACCAAACTCCATAAGGTTTGCCTTCTCGCCGATTCGCTTCCGATGCGCCTCTGACGCCTCAAGATTGCCCAAAGATGGCCCAAGAGAGCCCTAAGATGGGCCCAAGACGCCTCCAAGACGGCTCCAAGAGCGCCATAAGGCGCGATTTTAAAGGCCCCAGAAAGGGGGGGCCAAACGCTAGGACCCTCCAATTTCACCGACGCCCTCCACGATAGCCCCAAGAGCCCCCCCCCAAGAGAGGGCCCCAAGACCATCCAAAAGAGCCCCAAGAGGACCCAAAGACCCATCAAAAGAGCCCCAAGAGGGATTCAAGAGGCGATTTTGAAGGCTCTGTCCTCGTCCTCGTTGTCCTCCTCCTCCTCCTCCTCCTCTTCCTCCTCGTCCTCGTCCTTGCCCTCATCGTCATCAGTTTTCTTTTCCTCCTTTTCCTCGTCGTCGTGGTCGTCGTCGTCTTCCGCCTTCTCCTCCTCCTTCTCCTTCTGTTCCTCATCCTCCTCCTCCTCCTCCTCCTCCTCCGCCCTCGCCCCCAGCGGGCCCTAGAGATGGCCCGAAGAGGCCCTCCAAGGCCACCACCTTGCTCCAAAGATGTTTCTGTGCACTCTGCTTGCCGCCTTTCTGTGAAGAATAAAAACATTTGAATCCGCAGCACGTGTCCAAAACGGAACGTGCGCCACGACTTCCGGCTCTTTCAGACCATGGGGCCGCAGAACGTGCGAGCGCCCGTCTACCAACAACGATGCACGCGTGGTTACGAGGTGGCGATTGTGAGCAAGATGGAACTACGTACAAATATCGTCGGGGCGTTGACCCAAGGAACCTCAAATAAGGAACCAGGCCGCTTTTTGTCCATCAGTTCAACTTCGTTTTCCCATGGAAGACCTAAGGAAACCGAAGGCAAACTATGAAACAATCAAGGAACACGGAGCCCCTCCTCAACGAAAAGAGTTCCTTCTTCAGCGCCCCGACTGTACGAGCGTCACTGGCGCCCTTCCAGACCAGAAATTCACACCTCGTCGGGAACGCCGTGCACGCGGGCAATTCGCGTCTTGCAGTTCGGGCAGCACCCACTTACGTGCAGCCACCTGCGGGGGGGAGGGGGCGTTGCAACTCAGAATGCCATCATCGTGCTACCATCGCCCACACACGCCCACACACACATCCCCCCCCCCCCCCCCACACACACACACATCCCCCCCCCCCCACACACCACACACACACACACACACGCACGCACACACACACACACACATCCCCCCCCCCCACACACACACACACACACAACACACACACACACACACACACACACACACACACACACACACACACACACACACACACACACACACACACACACACACACACACACACACACACACACACACACACACACACACACACACACACACACACACACACACACACACACACACACACACACACACACACACACACACAACAACACAAACACAAACACACACACAAACACAAACACAGACACAATCACAAACACAAACACAAGCACAAACACAAACACACACATTCACAAACTCACTCACATACACCCACACCCACACCCACACCCACACCCACACCCACACCCACACCCACACCCACACCATCACATACACATACACATACACATACACATACACATACCTGAACAAAGAACGAAAGGGCTTCTCTGGCCAAAGCAAGCCGCGGCCACGAGAAGAGGCTCCCCGACCTAGACTTCAGGAACGGCCCAGACAACATAAAAAAGGACCCCTCCTGAGCCCCAAGTGGTCCTTCAGCATCTTGACGATAGTGGAGGAGGGGGCGCTGCAACGCAGAATACCATCATCGTGCTACCATAATGACTGAACAAGAAACGAAAGGGCTTCTCTGGCCTCAGCAAGCCTCGGCCACAAGGAAGAGGCTCCCCGACCGATAGGCTTCAGGAACGATCCCACCAACAAAACAAGAGCCCCTCCTGAGCCCCAAGTGGTCGTTCCTTCAGCACCTGGACGATAGTGGAGAAGGGGGCGCTGCAACGCAGAATACCATCATCGTGCTACACGCTGAACAAGAAAAGCAAGGGCCTCTCTGGCTATAGCAAGCCTCGACCACGAGAGGAGGTTCCCCGACCGATAGGCTTCAGGAACGACCCTACCAACAAAACAAGAGCCCCTCCTGAGCCCCAAGTGGCCGTTCCTTCAGCATCTTGACGATTGTGGAGGAGGAGGAGGACGACGACGACGAAGCGCGAGAGGACACACAGTTGGGCGCAGAGCGAGAGTCGCAGGGCGAGAGCGAGGCCAGCAGGAGCAGCAGGAGGAGAAGCGTGCCCCTCCCGGAGACGAGGGGGGGGGAATGGCAGACGACGCAGGACAGCAGGATCTCGAGGAGGGAACGAGGGAGGAGGAGGAGTAGGAGCAGGACCAGGAGGAGGGCGATGAGGAGGGAGGGGGAGGAGGTGGAGGAGAATTAGGAAGAAGAGGAATGGGATGCAGCCTCCCGGAGACGTGGGGGGGGGAATGGCAGACGACGCCCAGGGACGAACGGATGCACTGTGGATGCCATGACAATGGACACCCTAAAAATCCGATCATTGAGCTGAAGATGTTTTTAAACATGTTTGAAACATGTTCTGCACATGCTTAAGCCATGTTATATTTCTGTATATAATTATATAGAGAGAGAGATTCTAGACATATGGGAATTATTTTGCAACATGCTTCCTCTCCATTGATCGTCGCCCCCAAAGGAAGCACGAGACCGCGACGGTCCTGACTGCCTGCCTCGATGCCCCAGGCGCAGCGGCGGCCAGCCGCCGCACGGCTTCTTGAAGGGACACCCCAGAGGCCCTCGCCGCCCGGCACCAGGTCCCCCGAGAACGGCCCCGGGTCCAGGAACCCTGCGGTCACCCCGCCGAATGCCCACCGACTCACCACACGGAATGTTCACCGCACCGCTTCGGGGCCCCCGAGATACAGTCGGGGCGTTGACCTAAGGAACCCTGAATAAGGAACGAAGCCCCTCTGTCCCATACGTTAAACTTCGATTCCCCATCGAAAACCGAAGAAAAACCTTCGGCAAGCTGTGCACACATTGAGGAACACCGAGCTCCTTCCCACTTTCCCAGCGACAATGGTTTCTTCTTCAGCGCCCCGACTGTAAAGATCCGGAGCCGAACCCACACTGCCCTCAAGGCCCTGTCCCCTCCAGGCCCCCCGTCGTGTGATATTCTCAGCGTGGACGCCTGTAGGTCTGGACCCCCTCCCGCGGGGCAGCTTCTCACTCTGGCTCGGGGCCGCGTGGGCGGTGACAGAGTGCGTGGCTCGCCTGCAGTGAGTAGTCCTTTCGAGGGCGGCCTCAGAATGAGAGGGCAAGGCGCTGAAGCTTGTCATTGTCGAGCCATGGCGGCAAACATTTACGCCCGCGCTTTTTTCAAGGAAGGCGAAGAGGGATCAGCGAAACATAATCATAGTCCCTGCTTTCGCGGATAGGAGTGAGGGTGAGGAGTCGTCGGCGATGTGCGAGGCTCGAAAGCACATGTGACAGAAGCCAAACGCATTCAACGATAGCAAAAAAAACATTTCTCCACGCGCCATCCGCAGAGGACGATGTTGTGTCAAAGCAATATATGTATGTATATATATATATATACATATGTGTGTGTATCTGAATGCTTGTTGCGGGTGGGTCGCGGGTGGGTCACGGGTTGGTCGAGGGACGGGTCGAGGGTAGGTCGCGGGTTCGTCTCGATGGGTCGGGGGTCCGTGGGATGGGTCGCGGGATGGGGCCGGCAGCAAGAACATGAACCCGCACCGCGGAACCGCATTTCATCCAGGTAGCCAGGGGCAGTGTAAGACTGTTCGGCCGCCCCCCTTCTGACCAGGGAACGCAGATGGGCCCAAAATCAGACGACGCCGAACCTGCAGCCGCCTGCCGCCTGAAGAAGGGGTCGTGAACTGGAAAATCACGAGCCAATGCAACCGACAAGCTGGACACGTCCTCACATAGAGTCAGAGTGGAGTGGATAATGCAAGCCCACTAATCGATGAGTAGTATTAACTGTGGTTACCTGGCCCATCCACCTGTCGACGCAGTGCTGGTGGAAGCGGTGGAAGCACGGCAACATCCGCTGGTTGCCGTTTTTTTACAAAAGTTTGGAGTTCAAAGCTGGGCGACTGTTGTAGAATCATTGATTGACTGACCTCGTCGTTTTACGCGAACTGGTGCCCTCTGGAAGAACTGCCTTGTGGAACGGCTCATGGGAGAGTCGTGATCGTAGCTTGCTCATGGGGGGGCCAAGCCCCAAACCGCAGAGACACGTAGTGATTCATACGATCATCTGGAAGCCATTCGCTCGCACACTCAATACTCCCATCTGCATCTGGACACCTGCTTCCTCCAGATCTGCCACATCTACTTTTGTCTGACCAAAACGGGCTGCAACGGCTTCTCATCGCATTGCAGGGCAAGCAGCGCAACCGCGCGGCTTCTACCGCCACCATCGCTGCGACTATCCGTCTCCGAACGCGGGCGACGGTGCGTTGGCCGCCCCCTGAAAGGGCAGGCCAAAGCCTTCTCACCATCCCTCGCTTCGTGCCCGCCGCGCCGCGCGCCTCCATCCATTCCTCTCGCCTCCTCGCATCCTGCTTCCCCTGCCCCCGCCACTGCTCTTGTTCCCAGCCCTCCTTGTACTCTTCCGAACCCTCTTGTTTAATTACGTGGGTGACGTGGGTCCTCGTTTGGAGCCCAGTGGGCCGCGCCTCTGTTCCTCCTCCCCCCCCCCCCCTCCGCCTGCATCCCCCCCTGCCAGCTGCTCCTGCTGGTGCGCTGCCTGCTGCATGGCGCTGCTCCTGCCGCTGCGCCTGGCTGCTGCTGCTGCTGCTGCTGCTGCTGCTGCTGCTGCTGCTGCTGCTGCTGCTGCTGCTGTCCGTGCTACCCGCGTGTCGATTTCGGTATACCCGTCACAGGGACCGTGTTCGACAGGGAGCTCCGCCTATGGCCCCGTCTGGAGCTCTAACTGCGGTCTCTGCGGGGGGGGCGGTCGGATGGCCATCCCTCGCACGGCTAGTGCCCCATGAGGACCTTGACCTATGGCCATGGGGGTGGTTTCCCCATGTAAAGCGTCCACGCATCCAATTCGGCGCACCCCTCAAAAGCTTCGTGCCCAAAAAGGAGCTTCATATACGAGCCCAGCTGGGGCGTTCCTGCAGCGCCTCCGCGTCAAACCCTACAGAGTCTCCGCGCAAAATTCGACGTACCCCTGCACGGATCGTGCTCAACAGCGACGCAGGTGGCCCCAATGAGGGTGTCCGCCCGCGGTCCCCAGCCCGCTCCGGCACCCCTCACGCAGACCGTGCCCCGTATGGAGCTTAGTGCTTTCGCACGCCTGCTCCACCACCTCTCCGCACTGCCTCAGGCATGATGCCTCCCGCAGCACGCAGCGCAGCACACATAACGATAGGGCCACGCCCTGCGCTACACGCAGCTGCATGGGGTTGGGCCCTTCGCCAAGCTACTAATTTGTTTCGCTGCCCCCAACCTCCCTCTCGCTTCCGCCCTCCGCTCGTCGTTTCGTGTGTGACTGCGATTTCTTTGGCCGTCTCGGCCATGGGCTCTGGCCATTCCGCTGCGCCGGGCCGCAAACCTCGGCTAAACGCTAGAGAAACCCGAGGCGAGAATGGTCTTAGTTGCGCGACTTTCGCAGCCGTGGGGACGCCAAACCCGAGCGCGTTCAACCATCTGGTGATCCCACTGTGCCCGCACAAGGGGTCACTTTGGCGAAGAGTCAACCTGACGTGTAGCCGAAAAAACCTGGGGATTGCGGGCGCCTGCGTGTCGCCGGCGCTGAATTCCTCCAGGCATATCGTGCACGAGCGGTGCTCCGGGGCGGAGCACGTGGCCTCGCAGGAAAGGAATACGCAGGGGGAGCAAGGATGGCAGCGCATCGGGCAGAAGTTCAGCAGGCCTGCCCAAAAGTGTGCGGAAGAGACGGTGGACGAGGACGCGACCGGGCTGGGCTGCATCGCGCCATCCTCGCACGCGGCTTCTGCGGTCGGGAACTTTTGCTTAGCGTGTTGCGGCGGCGGCCCCGGCGGCACACTCTCCCTTGCGAGCGGATAGCGTGTCGCTCCCCTCCGCGGGTCGGGAGGCTCGGAAAAGCTCGGGAGATTGATGCTGGGGGGCTGGGAAAAGCATAGCGTTTCGCTCTGAAACGTGGGCCAGAACGGAGCGACATGCTAAGCCAAAGTTCCCGACGGCACGTAGGAGAAGCAACATTGGCAACGCATCGTGTCAAAGTTCAGCATGCTCACCCAGCAGGGTGCGGAAAAAAACGGTGGTTGAAGACGCGGCCAAGTTGGACGAAATCGCCCCATCCTCTCACGCTGCTCTCATGCCCGCTCAAAGTCCACCTCGTCCCTCATCCTCCTGGTCATCCGCTGCCTCGTCCACCTTTGCGTTCCCAGCGTGATGACTACGATGCGTGCATTGATCCCATCAGATTGTGTAGCAAAGGGGTCGATGGGTAAAGCGCGGCGCCAGATAATGCTAATGCGAAGACGGGCAGAACATGATTGGTATCCCAGGTGTTGGAAGAGGAGGAGAAGGACGCCATGGAGAATGACGAGGACAACGATGAGGGGGCGGGGGTAAAGAGGAAGCAAATATCCAGAATGAGTGCATGCCTTGGCCCACGGATCAGACAACACATAGCATCTTGAGCAAAGGAGGAGCACAAGGAGCAAGACAAGGTTTCGGAGGGAGATGGGGAAGATAAGGAGGAAGATGCCAGGAGGGCAACCAGGGGAATGGGGAAGAGGAGCAGGATAAGAAAGGGTAGGAAAGGAGGAGGCAGAAAGGATGGGAAGAATAGAAGGAGGAAGGAAACGAGGGGGAGGGAGGAGGACGAGGAGGGAGGAGGACAGAGCAGAAGAGGACAGAGCAGGATGACGGAGGATGAGGAGAAGGAAGGGACTAGAGAAAGGGAAGAACAAAGGAAGGCCGCCTCGCGCGCCGTGACGCGGTGGGTCGGCAGGGCGTTTATTGTCCTAGGCGCCCCGTGGAGGTCGCGGTGCCGCCTCCTCTGAGCTCCTCCGCATTTTTTCAATTTGAAGACTACTCTCCTCTTACCCCGAAGTCTGCCTTGAAGATGTCTGGCCCTCTCAGCGTACTGCTCTCTTACATGCAGGACTCCAGTGTTAGGTCCTTCCTGCATGATTTGCCCCTCGGAACGTCTTCGGCCGTTCCGCGTGGGAGCTCTCGCCTCGGCGTCCGCCGCACACCTGCCCTCGGCGGGCCTCCCGCTCCTCGCCCGTCGTCCTGCGGCGGCCCCTTGGCGTCGGACCGCCGCTCGGCCAGCCGCTCGCTGAGGCGGCTGCGGCAGCCGTCGTCGTCGTGCTCGTCCTCGTCGTCGTTGTGAATCTCCTGGTTTGTCCTCCTCCTCCTCCTCTTCCTCTTCCTCCCTCCTCCTTCCTCCCCTTCCTGGGCACGAAGGTCAGATGCGACATCCTATTCGGTGAGGAAACAAACCAGCAACGCAGTGGAAATGGATGCGAGGGAGGGGTCGGATGTCAGAATTGGCGCGAGCGCAACCCAGCTTGTCTGCACCGCCTCTCCTCTCCTCCACTATATCCCTTTTCCACCTGTCTGCACTCTTGAACTTGACATTCAATGTCGTTGTTTCTTATTGTCTGTTTCTCTCCCTCTCTCTCTCTTTATCCCTCTTCCTCCCCCTATCTGAAACTGTATGGCTGTGTATCCGTCTCTCTCGCTCTCTCTGCTTCTCTCTCTCTCTCTCTCGGTGTGTGTGTCCCTCGCAAGATCGCCGTCTAGCTCGACTGGGCGATACATGCACACACGCATACACACATATGTGTGTATATATATACAGATACAACCATGCTTCGACTTACGTGCATTGAGGCATGCAAAAAAACCTACCATAGGTTACACGTGCGTGTTATGTAAACCCTCTGGGAGCTCCCAGAGGCCAGAGAACCGCCAGGACGCCGCGCGACACGCGCGATGTGCAGGGTCCACCCTGTCAGCACACAGGAGGTTCAGCGCACAGCGCCGCGTGAACCAGGATAGGGGCGTTGTTTTACGCCCTTGAATACAGACATACGTGTATGTGTAAGTACATGCTAAGACAGTTGTACAAACATACGTATACACATACACATGTTTGTACGTGCACGTATGCGCGAATTGATTTATGCATATATGAATGCGTTTACGAATTCATGACTGCATCCAGAAGGAATGCCGCGCCCCTCCTTACACATACATGTATATATACACATTCATATGTATATATGTATATAGACGCACACACCCTCAACACTCAATCCTGTCACGCTTGCTCCTTCACCGCGTTGCCCCCGTCCTCCTTACCATCCACCTCGTACTCATTTGGGTTCATATAGGGATTCAATACGCAAAAGCGAAGAGAACAGGGAGGGATGATTCGATTACGATCGAGTAGAACGCAAATCTAAATTCAATACGAAAGGGCGAGGAGATGGAGGAGGGAGGATTCGATTTGGATTGCGTGGGAGCCAGGTAAGAACCCAATGAGAAAAGGGTGAGGAGGAGGAAAAGGAGGAAGAGGAGGGGATGATTTCATTGGATTTGATTGGGGCCCACATCAAAGCCAACTGAAGCAAACAAACGGAAAAGGGCAGAAACAAAGGGGAAGAGGGGAGGAGGAAGGGGAGGTGGAGGTGCACACATTCGATTCGGATTGAATCGTGCAACTAAGGTTCCAATAGGGAAGGGCGAGGAGGAGGGGGAGGGGGGATGCTGTTGGATTTGAATGGGAACGAACGAAGGAAAAAAGGGGAAAGGGACAGGAGGAGGAGGGAACAAGAAGGGAAAGGAGGAGGAGGAAAGGAACGATACTTCAATTGTGTCTAAGGAAAACACACACCAACATCTAGTCTCTGGCTGGTATCCCAATTACGAGTTTCTGTATTTCGAAATCTAACAACTGTTGTGTGCGTGCAACTGGAAATCAGATAGCACCTTCAACAGTCAATCGAAACACAAGGCTGTGAGATCCTGAAGCGATATCTCCTGGTGAAAGCAGACAGTTCTGCATTGCCCGCATCAAGCAACATTGTGTAGCCGTTTGGAAGTTCTCACAACCTGTGCAACCACAGGTTTGTGTGTTCCTTGTCTGGCGGAGCCATATTATATACTTACGTATTTGTTTTGTGCCCCAGATGGCACGAACAACTGCTATGGTGCCGTTGTTCATTGTACATTTCTGATCACGGGAACTTTTGAGCCAGCAATCAGCGCCGCCTGGCGTGCAAGTCGTGCTGCAATCAACATCCAACTTATGCATTGATGTTGTGTTGTCCACCCGCTGTAAATATTTAAACGCACCTTTATGTATCAATCTTAAACACAACAGATCGCAAGGTTGCATTGCCACTTTGAAATCGGCAACCAGAAGGTTTTGCTGAGATGTTGAATCAAAGCGTTCACTATTGCGACGGTAGGGCCCCGCACGAAAATAGATTTAACATGCCCCTTGTTTTTTCCCATTCGCCTTGGATGGGGGTTGTCTTTCCGCTCTCTGCTTCGCCGCCTCCTCCTACTCATCCGCACAATCATCTTCACAGTCCGGTGCCTCTTCTTTCTCGTCCTCTCCTCCTCCTCCCCCTTCCCCTCCTCCTCATCCTTCTCCTCCTCCTTCTCCTCCTCGTCCTCCTCCTCTTTTTCCTTTTCCTCCTTTCCTCCTCCCCCGTTCCTCCTCCTCCTCCTCCTCTTCCTCCTCCTCCGCATCCGCCAGTTTCTCCCCTTCCTCCTCGTCCTCCTCGTGGTCCTCGTCCTCGTCCTCGTCCTCGTCGTCGTCGTCGTCCTCCTCTTCCTCCTCCTTTTCCTCCTCCTCCTCCTCCTCCTCCGCCTCCTCCGCCTCCTCCTTTTCCTCCGCCACCTCCTCCTCCTCCTTTTCCTCCTCCTCCTCCTCTTCCTTTTCATCCTTTCCTCCTCCCCGTTCCTCCCCCGTTCCTCCTCCTCCTCCTCCTCCTCCTCCTCCTCCCTCATCATCATCCGCCTCCTCCTCCGCCTCCGCCAATTTCTCCCTCTCCTCCTCGTCCTCCTCGTCCTCCTCGTCGTCCTCGCCGTCGTCGTCGTCCTCCTCCTCCTCCTCGCCCTCCTCGTCTTCCTGCTCCTCCTCCTCCTCCTCGTTTTCCTCCTCCTCTTCCTCCTCCTCCTCGTCCTCATCCTCTTCCTCCTCCTCCTCCTCCTTCTCCTCCTCCTCCTCCTCCTCCCTTCTCCTCCTCCTCCTCCTCCTCCTCCTCCTCCTCCTCCTCCTCTGCCCCCCCGCCATCCTAACCCTTCTCTCCTCTCTGATCATCCTCCTGCTTGTTCTCCCCATGCACTTCCTGTGGCTCCTGGCCAGGGCAAGTCGATTTTCCTCGGCGCCGACACGGCAACGGGAAGCATGGGCGCGTTCTCCGATGGCCGGATAGCGAAGCCGTTGGGGCAGCCCCGCGGGCGAGGCCGTTGGGACAACCCCTGAGGGCGAGTGGCATGCCAGCTGAAATTCGAATTTTCCGATAAACGGGCTACTTTTCCGAGCGCGAGCTGGGAACGCCCCCGCGATCCACTCCCGTATGAAGCTCGCGTTCGGCACTTTCTCCGGATTCAAACCTCAGAATCCCTAATGAGACAATGCTTACATAAATTTGACGACCCGCCCTGGTGACTAACATGAGCTGCCGGCCCCACAGGGAGGGGCTCTCGTTTGAGATTCCTCGCAGATCACTCACAGACGAGGCTCCCGTTTGATATTTCCCCCATGATCAGGCCTGAGGAGCCCAAAAGTGACGACGGTTACAAATTTGAGGGCGCCTTGCTCCCATACTCCAGCCTGGGACCCAACATTTAACGACGGATGGATGTTTGTGAATGATCCGCTCGGTTTAACAAAACGAGAAGAACAAACAACACCAACAAAAATCGAGCAGCGGGCTCGACAAGGAGGAGGCTCTCGCCTGGAACTTTCCCTTAGCTCACTCACAGACGAAACTCCCGCTTCAGACTGCTTCCAGATGCAAGCCTGGGAACCCAAGCGCGAAGATATTTACAAGTTTTGGGATGACCGAATGGGATTTGAAACAGGAGCCGCGGGCCCCCCAAAAGAGGAGGCTCCCGTCTGGGATTTCGTCACAAATCACTCACAAACGAGGCACCCGCACGATACCTCATCTGGAACCGCGTCTCAGGAACCCAAAACTGTTAGGAACGAGGGGCGAATGATGAATATGATGATGGTGATGCTGATGATGATGATGATGATGACCTGATGAAAACAGTGATGATGGTGATGGTGATGTAGATGCCGTTCCTAGTCATAATGAGTGCGTGCGTGTGTAAGTGTGAATGTGTGTGAGAATGTGTTTCAATGTTGATGGCGATGATGATGGCGATGAGAGTGAGCCAGTGGACGCGATGCTGATGGTGAGGAAGAGGGGGAGGAGAAGATCCTGCGCGGGGTGTATCGAAGAAAAAACACACCCACTTTGGATCCCGGTGAAAACAACACGTTTCCAAAATATGCCGCCCCCAAATATGGTAGAACCTTGCGTGGTGTTTCCTTCCGCTTTCCAGGCCCCATTCACACATTATGTTGTTCTTGACTTTGAAAATTCCCAAACATGCAAAGACACGCGAAAATGTTTCGTCGACACGTCGGCGTCAGAAAAACATTGGTTGAACATTGTCACACTGAGATGTTGCACCAAAACATTTGAAACACAATGTTTCAGATACGTTACACGTCAAGATCACAATCGCTCTGTCCGTTTTCAAAATAACATTGGTACGTTGTGTTGTTGGCCTTTTTTTTAATTAGTACCATATAACCAGGCATCTACGGTTTTATGTTTCAAACATTTAGACCCGGGAAACACAACAACCATCAAAGGCTTCATCGTGATGCTGCACGGCCCTCCTCCAGTGACCCCACCCGAAAATCTCAATAGAACCGCGTGTTGTGTCTTTCCACTTTAAGACATGCAACACAAGCCGTTGTGTC